CCGGCCTCCGCAAACCCGGGCGCGCGTCGCTGATTGGCAGCGCGTCCTCGCGACCGCCTCCTGGGTTCCTCGCAGGCCAAGTGCGCTGATATCGCAGAACGCTGTCTCGCTTCCTGCCGATCAAAAACATTGCATTATTTTATGCCCACGTTCGTAGCACTTTCTCTCATTCGTGTCCCTTTCATTGCCGCCCGGACTGTCACATTCCCCACCCTGCCGTTTTTGTTCCTACCATGTGCCACCTCGCGGGCCCAGTCGTCATCCGACGGCTTCGGCTTTGTTTGGCCTTCCTCGGTGCGCGCGTTGGACACAGAGTGCCACCATTGCACATAGCGCAATGTAGTAACGCGACACACACACACATACATACACACATACATACATACATACACACACAAACACACACACACACACGCACACACACACGCTACACACTACACACAGCACGCACTACACTACACACACTTGCACCCTGTCCATGGTGTCTGCGTTTCCTTTGTGGTCCTTGCAAAGAGTACCCCTCCGTGCCTTCCCCTCAGCCTCCAAATGCCCCACCAAAGCAACTCAAACCATATTCCCTACTAGCAGGCCCAAGAGGCTCCGCAGGCATAGTGCTTTTCCTCAGTGCGCGCGTTGCACACGGAGTGCTACCAGTGCACATATCACAATTATAATAACACGACGTACTCCACGGCACAACATGGCATATCACACCTTGACAATCAATCTCCGCCACCCGCGCAGTCGAACCCTTGAGGTGTTCATGGCTCCTTTGTTTTGGGCCTCCCCCCAAGTCGCACAAGGCGCATGCGGTCGGCCATCGTTGCACATGGCGCATTAGCAGAGCATTCCGGACCATCGCCACCCGCACGGCCGAGCGAGTTCGTCGTCCATGGTTTCTGCGTTTCTCGGGCGCCCCTTCCACGCAGTGGATCATGCGGGCCAATAGGGGGCTTCCAACAACATTTCCGAGCGACCGCCCCCTGTCCACGGAGTCTGCGTGTACATGCTCGTTCTGATTCTTCTCCCCACCTTTCTTGCGCTGTTCGCCCTCGCAGGAACAAGATTGCAAAGGCGAAGCGAAGCGAGCCTTGAAATCTTGTGTATATATATATATATATGAATGCTATACGCATGTATTGCCAGTTGCCGCAGCATCTTGCTCCCGCAGTGCACGCAAGCCTTCGCGGCCTCGCGTAGTCAGCATAAATCTCTATATGTTAATATAGATATGAATGTATATCTATATGTATACATATATACACATCTGTATGTATGTATCGAGCTTTGTTCTCGGGATTGAGTGTGCACCACAACCACAGACATGATGCGATCTGAGAGGCCTTCCTCACGTACTCCTCCCTTCTAGCCCGCCTTCTTCTTTTATAATTTTCCCCTTCTCTCCCCCCCTCTCCCGCTCCTTTCCCTCCCCCTTCTTGTGGGGTGGGTGCGGGTGTGTATTGTGCGTGCGTTGTGGAGTGTGCGTGCGTGGTGGCGGGTAAGACGGGGGGCTCTTTAGAGAGGCCGGCGCCGTCGGATGACGTCGGTCGGCTCGAATGTGTCTGTTAGGCCGAACGGCAGGTCGAGAAGCGGAGTTTGGATGGTTGAGGGGAAGTAGACGGCTTTCATTGCGAGCGCTCGGTTGCTTCCCCTTCAACCCGTTGTGGACCAAGCACATTGATGCTGTGGCACATATTCCATCGCAGCGGCGCACGAAACGATGCGTGTATGAGAAGCCATTTCTTCCTGCCATCAGCCTTGGTGCCCGAAACATAGAGCTGGGGAGGTATGGAGGAGGATATGAATGTGGAGAGGTGGAAGACGAGCAGAAAGCATTCGTTGCGGGCGCTCGGTTGCTTCCTCTGCAAGCCGCGTTGGACTGAGCACGCTGATTTTGTGGTGTATGCTCGAGCGCAGCGGCATCCGAGACGAACATCGGCGGAGTGTTGCCCCGCTCCTCGGCCCGCTGCGCCACCATATTCCTGGCCGTGGTGGTGGGCCCTTGAGGCACGTTGCCACGGTGGCAGACCTTGGACCCAAGACGACAAGGGGAGAATCTGAGGATTGAGGAGGAAGCCGAGGAAGAGGAAGAGGAGGAGGAGGAGGAGGAGGAGGAGGAGGAGATGGCATGCATTGTGGGCGCCCGGCTGCTTCCTTTTTGCAACCTGTTGTGGACCGACCATGGTGAGATTGTGGTGTATGTACTGGCGCAGCGACTTGCTGCGACGTGCTGCGGCTGAGTTTAGCCCCGCTCCTCGGTCCGCTCCGCATCCATGGCCCGTGGAGTCGGCATCTCTCAGTTGCCTTGCGTGTGGGAGGCATCTTTCTCCTGCCATCATTCTGTTCTGTTCCCGAGACGTCGGGAGGAAAAGGGCTTGATGCTGATGATGATGAGGATGATGATGATGATGACGATGACGATGACGACGAGGAGGAGGAGGAGGAGGGAGGTGTTGGGGGACGAGGGGAGCGAGGTGGACGAGGAGGAGGGCGCAGGGTGGAGGACGAGCACGAGGACGAGGGCGAGGAGAACGGAGGACGGAGGAGGAGGGGGAGGAGGAGGATGATGAGGAGGAGGAGAAGGTGGAGCAGAAGGCATTCGTTGCGAGCGCTCGGTTGCTTCCTCTGCAGCCTGCTGTAGAACGATCTCCGTGACGCTGCGGTGTGTGTTCGAGCGCAGCGGCGCCCGAGAGGAACACCGGCTGGATGCAGCCCCGCTCCTCGGTCCGCTCTGGCTCCATCTTCCTGGCCGCGGTGGTGGGCCCTCGAGGCACGTGGCCACCAAGGCAGACTGCGGAGTCGGTATCTCTCGCAATGGATTGGCGCGTGTGGGACGCCGTGTCTGTCTGCGAGCAGTCGTGGCGCCCGAGGCGCAGAAAGGGGAGGTCTGGAGGAGGAAGATGGGATTGAGGTGGATCCGGAGGCATCGCACTCGGCATGCGACAACGGTAATTGAACCGTCGGTGAGGGCAATCGCAGAGAGACATTCAAACTTCTAACGGAGGAATTTGGTTGAAGATGGATCTGGAAGGCAACTCAGCAGTTAGCGCATAGCTTTGTCTTTCCCGCTATTGCAATCGGAATGCGACAACGGGTCGCAGCTACTTTAACCCTCGGTGAGGGCAATCGCAGAGAATAGGAAGGGATTATAGTGGTGGAGGATGGATTGGTGGTGGGTTCGGACGTAGTCGTGTTAACACTCCCCGAGCAGCTGGACGTAAGGGCTCAGTCCTGACCTGCAGAAACAACGCAACAATCCACCTCTGATGAAACCAACGCAACCCTTGCCGAGCTACCAGAGCCGGCACGGCATCAAGGTCCACAGTAGGGCTTGAAGTTCAAGAGGGCATTTCAATCGGCCCAGCAGTGAGATTTCGCACACAAAAGGCATCATTTCGTTGGCCCTGGTACATTTACTGAAGCCGGTTTGAGCGGTGCAGCACTGCAAATTGAGGGAATCGTTGGGGGATGTGTGAGGTGAGGAGGAGGTAGAGGCTGGGTTTTGAACGCTAACGCACCGTGCGTGTCGACCGTTGCGAACGTGTTGGCCGCTTCGGCCCTCGGCAAAAGCAACCAGAATTTCAAACGACGACCCTCAGTGAGGGCATCCATTTACCGGGACCGCAGTTTCAAGCGACGACCCCAGTGAGGGCATCCAAGGAGGAGGAGGAGGAGGAGCACCACTACATTGTAATTTCTGCCCTCGGTGAGGGCGCATTGCAATCTCAGCACGCCGCACTCGGAACAGTTATGTGATCCCTCGATGATGGCACTTTCGGACGCTGCTGCACTGTCCTTCGGTGAGAGCCTTGCGATAGGTTGGGGAAGGATTTGAGACATGATGGGTCGGGATGTGGGACTACCTTGCCGACGCCTGCATTTCAAATACTCTTCACCCTCGCGGGCTCTCCTTTTTTTGGCCTCTCTTTGCGTTTCCTGCACTGCTTAGTCTGTATAACAGCGGCGTTGCTGACTTGCATTGCTACTGAACGCTACAATCTTAAGATTCAAGTCCGCTCAACGTCAAAAACGAAGGAGAGTGAGGAGGAGGAGGAGGAGGAGGAGGAGGAGGAGGAGGAGGAGGAGGAGGAGGAGGAGGAGGAGGAGCGGGAGGAGGCGGCAGGCAGGAGGGGGATGAGGAAGGAGGAAGGGGGCGAAGGAGGAGGAGGACGAGGAGGGAGAAGAAGGAGGAGGAGGAGGACGAGGGAGGAGGGGAGATGGGGGAGGCGGTGGGAGGAACAGGAGAAGGGATGACAAGAGTAGACTGAGGAGCAGTGGCATGAAAAACATGAGGAGGAGGAGGAGGCGGAGGCGGAGGAGGAGTAGGAGGAGGAGAGGGGGAGGAGGAGCGACACCGATCCTGGTCAGGCCAGTCCTGGGCCCACGGTCGCTGCGCGTGCTTTCTGGGTCGGCAGGTGCGCTCTCCTGGCAGTGATGGCACGGCACGTGCGGATCCCGGGCCCGGGGCTGGCCTGGACGGGATCATCGCTGCAGGTGGACCCTGGCCAAGGTCTAGGACTGGGACGACATCGGGCTGGGATACCTCGGGGATCCCTCTGAGCCTCCGCGGTTCTGGCAGACGCGTCGGGCCTCCGGAGCTGCCCCCGCGAGGCCCAGAGGCCCCGGGGGGCCCGAGCCCTGCGCGAGAAGCGGGGGGCACTTTTTTGGGCGAGGGGCCACGCCGGGCCACCCGCAAAGGTGGCGCACCCCGGCCTTCTGGTTCCCGCTGAGGATGTTGTACTCCGTGGACGCGTAGGGCCTCGTGGAGAACGCCCGCACGGCGCCCTCGTAGCTGTCGGTGCTCTGGAGGACCTGCCTTCGGACCCAGCCGCTGAGCTCCCGCTTCTCCTCGAAGACGTGCTTCATCAAGCCACCGATGTTAGAGCTCTTGGGCGGATACCGGGTGTTGATCTCGAAAGTGTAGCCATTGCTCCCACGCCTCATGGCGGTCAGGGGGAAGGAGTACAGCGCAATCATCTGCGCGGTGTAGATCTCCTTGCCTCCCTTGAAAAACGTGCCGACGAGGGGAAAGGAGGAGGAGGAAGAGGGAGGAGGGGAGAGGAGGAGGACGGAGGAAGAGGAGGAGGAGTAGGAGAAGACAGAAACAGCGGCTGGGCCGACGTAACTCATCTTCTGCAACCACCTGAAAGACGGACATAACTTGACCTCACTGACTATGACATGAGGACTTTACACCGCAGCTTACGCGGGCCGCTGGCGTGGCACTCCCCGCGGAGAAGAGGGCACTTACGAGCGAGCTTACGCGCGAACGTCGGCGCAATCGACCCCTGTGTTCTTCCGTCGCTCACCTGGCGAAGCTGAAATCCAAATTCCTGGCGTGGATCACCGTGCCGTCGTCCGCGCTCCTGGCCACGATGCCCGTGCACCCGAAGGATGGCTCCAAGCCGCTGCGCTGGGTGCTCTGGCCCCAGGGCCAGGTCACGTTCTCGACAGGAACCATGATGGTCTGCAGCTCGTAGATCATCTGCGCAAGCTGGGCGTACTCGAGCGGAATCTGCGCGTACTTCGCGTAGCCCCTGACCTCTCGCGCGGCGCTGCGTGGAAGGGGACATGGGGCGCTCGTTCGGGGGACCGCAAGGGCCCCTCACGGGCGGAGCGGGCGAGGTCCGGGGCTTAGCAAGGATGGTCGGCGGGCAGCAAGCTTACTCAGCGAGCCGGCGTCGGAACTCAGCGATTCCTAGTGTCTTCAGCCTCGCCCGATGGCATATCTTCGGTGGCCACTTCGAGCCGCTCGGCTCAGCCCAGACGGCGCCAGGAGGCCTCGAGTGGCGCGGGCGGGCTCCCGGCGGCTGCTGCCGAGCAGATAGCGCGTCGCTCCGCTCCGCGTGGCCGGAGGCTGGGAAGCGCTCGGGACTCGGGGATGGAGTAAAACGTGGTTTAGCGAAATCGACCTGAGGCCCCAACCTGGTGGGCGCAAGCCTGGAAAATGACGGCCACGGCGCCCTCTCGAGAACCGACAACGGACAATTCACCAATCGACGTGTCACTGTTGGGGGTTCTATCCACCCCCGAGGGACGTCGACGCTTGGGCTCGGGACGTGGTGAGTGAGCGTGTCGCGCCAGAAGCTTGGTGGGCCAGCCTCTCTCGTGTCTGGCGCAGGCGCCTCTCGAAGCGGAGCGGCGCGGTCGCGCGGGGCTCCTCTGCGCGCACGTGCTGGCAGGAGGGAGGGCCCAAGCCGGTTTTTGTTCGGGAGCGGCCAAGAGGGGAGGGGCCAAGAGGGGGGGGTGCAAATCATGACCGGCGGCATGTGCGCGGCCCAGCGGGGGGGCCAGGGACGTAATGAAAGAAGAAGAGGCGCCATGAAATCTGGGGAAATGTCATGGCCCGCGCCATGGTATCCCCCCCCCCCCCAGTCATCACCCCCTCTTTTCCGCCCCCGAGCTTTGACTCGGACCCGTCTGAAGTGGCGCCGTAGTCTCCGGAAGCTCACCCAGAGCGCCTGCAAAAGCCAGTTATCCCACACACAGGCTGGGGAGCGTCATTTGTTGTATCGTGCAGTGGCGCGGCACGCTTAGCCACAGTGCCGGACCGCATTTTCATGCAAAACGCACGTGGTCCACAACCTAAGCAACCAAACTTCGCGCACAATGCCCCGCGATGCGGGGCTATCTTCGCGCCCTCGCGCCCTCACTCTGAAACCCTTCGAGGAGTGCCCGCTCTCCAGCCCAGACCGTCCCGCGCAAACCAATCTTGGCGTTCCTGGGGGTCCAGCGAGCCCCAGGGATCACTAGGAAGCCCCCAGGAAGCCCCAAGGAGCCCTAGGAAAGCGACCGAGAGCCCCGAGGAATCAAGGAGAAAACCGAGAAGCTCCAGGGACTCCCCGGGAACCGCAGGTTCCAGGAAACCCCAGGGAGCCCCAGGAACGCAAGGAAACCTCAGAGAACAGTCGCGGAGCGAAGAAACCAACGAGTTGACTCAAGCCGAGGCGGAGACGACGAGTCATTGGCAAGTGTGCTTGTCCTTGTCGTTTGGGTCAGCAGCGCAACGTCGCACCGGCGCGTGAGCCCCTCTCATGCTAAAGCTCAGACGATTGCTCATTTGCGCCCGCGCAGGAGCAGGGGAGGGTGGAGGGATTTGTTTTGTTGGAGGAGGGAGCGCGACTACTGAACTCCGCCGGACCCGGCCTCGACCTCTGTGCGAATCAAGAGGTCGCCAGGCAAACGGGGCACACCACACGAACCGACCTGCGATAGGCAAACTCACGTACTGAACCGTGGCCTGAAAGCTGAGCGGGCGTGCCGCATGCGAAAGGAGAGGACGGCACGAGGAGGAGAGAGGGAGGGAGGGAGGGAGGCAGAAACAAGATGCCGAATGCGGCCAGACAGTGGCTGCCACGAGACATGACCTGTACAAGCACAGCCAGACACGCACGAGGAGGGAAAGAACAGCAACTCCTCAAACCGCTCGGGCAGGGCGGGTGGACACCGATGCTCGCCACGGCCACGCTCCTCGACCAGATGGGGGGGCGCAGTGAACCGCCTTGCGAAGGGTAGGATGCAATGAAGAAGAGGGAGGGGAGGGGAGGATGAACACACGGCATAAGCACCAGGAAGAAGGAGAGGGGGCAGGCAAGGTCATATGATGGGAGGGGGGGAAACAATGAATCTATCACCCTCTTCGTCGTCGTCCTCCTCCTCCTCATCTCGGCATCTCTCCTGGCTCCTCATCCTCATCCCTCCTGCATCCCCCTCCCCCTTGGTCATTAGGGGCGTTGGCGTGCCAGGGCATATGCTTGATCGTTTTCGTTTGTCTTCTCCTACGGAGGGCGCGTGCAAGTACGAGATCGCGCATGCATAAGTTAATCGCCGCAACTCAAACAATCAAATCATATCTTTTCATCCAATTAGTTTCCCGCGCCCAGTTGGACCGCGGGCTCTTCCTGAACACATCTTTCCCCTCCCCAATCATTCCACAATCATTTCCCATCCATCTCCTCCGCCTCTCCTTCCTGAACGTTAGCGCTCAGGACATATTCAACAATGCATTACGGTCAGAACTTGTAAAGATAGACCCATGCGCGGCGACGAGACCACTCCCGGCAGGCCTAAAAAGAGCAGGCCACGAGTGAAAATCTTCAGCCTCGAAGCGTGATCCTCGATCCTTCCTCCTCCTCCCTCCCTTGATCCTCCTCCGCCTCCTCCTTCTCTTCCTTCTCCTCCTACTCCTCCTCCTACTCTTTCTATCTCTCTCTCTCTTTTTCTCTTTCTCGGCCTCTGAATTTTCTGAACGCGGTCATTCCCCCCCCAAGGCCGGTCCGCCCTGGTGTGTGTGGGGTGATGAAACTGGTGTGCCCGGCGACCTGGATGGTCGCTCCGACAAATTAGAAACATGACCTTCGTCTCCTTGGCATTGAGTCGCATGCCGTCTGCCCGCGCCGTGGATTTGATAAGTTTGAGCTGCGCTGTTGCTGTTTCCGTTGCTTGGTCGGGGGTGGTGGTGGTGTGCGGGGTGAGATCATCGACGACGGATGCGTCGGTCAGTGCTGTTCGTCCGTTCTCTCCACGTTGATGTGGGCGCTCTTGGGCGAGTGTGGGCGCCCAGTCGCTGCTGTCGTGAACCTCGTAGTGCATGCGTTGTTGATCATGTCCTCAACGATTGTCTTAGCGATCCTCGCGGACGCTGCGTCGAAGGAAGAATCGGACATTGGCACTCCCGGCCTGGTGCCCGTTCTGGGTTGAGCCTTCCATTTGGGCCCGCGTGGTGTGGCCCATGGGTCGGTGTGGGCGTCGCAGAGTAGGGCTACTACGTGCTCGTCGTCTGTGGTGTTGTCGATGCATGGTGCTCCCCGCATTGCGTCCGCAAGCATGGGTACGACCGCCCCTGGGATCTCCACGGTGTCGAAGACCTCCAGGTCGTCTTTGCCAGTAAGAAGCTGGTAAAGCAAGTCCACGACCGCTGTTTCTGGCGTCCTTGAGGCCCAAGAAAAAGAGGGCCACGCTGTCGCTACTGTTCTTCAAGACGCTGATGAATGCTATCGCAGCGTGCGTGGCGAAGTCGGTGCTCCGACGCGGTGGTGCGCCGCAACGCGTGTCTCGCTGTTGCAGATTTTGAGTTTGGTCCTCAGAAGCCCGTGGCGGTGGTGGGCGACGGCGTTGTTTAGCCAGCCCATGCGTCTGTCCGCGATATGTTTGCTGTTGGCGGCCGTCTTGGCAACTGAGGCCTGCCCTCTTCCTTTGCGAGGCAATGGCGCTACTTTTGCAAAATGTGCCATCACTTGCAACGGGCGAAAGGATCTGACCATCTGCTTGCTGGTGGCGCGGCGCACGTCGCCCGTGAGGTCGTCAGGTCCTCCATGTCTGTTAGGCTTGGCGTCTGAGGTCGGTTTTGGGGATGACGTTGGCAATCGGCGTGTCTAGTTGAGTGCGAGTGCGTACTGCCTCCTCCGCGTATCTGGTAGTGCTTCGCGATTTCCTCCGCTGGGCGTATGAGGGCGTGGTCGGCGATGGCGAAGTGGTCAGCTCTGCCGCGGCGTGCGCCTCCTCCGATGTAGTGGGTTTACCGTTTTCGTGGGCTGTGTTTCGGTGCTAGGTGATCATCCCTGGCGGTCTGCCTGCGAGATCGTAATTACTGCTTTGCTCACTGCCGTTCCGTCTTGGCATCTCTATTCTCGATTGCCTCGTGGATGTTGTCGGCGTAGTTGCTTCGGTACTGGCACTTGCCTTCGCGCGTGCGTGTGCGTGCGTGCGACCAGTTGATGCTTGGATTGGCGGAGGAAGGCCATGGTAGCCATGTGCATCTCGCCGTGCATCGTAGTCCTGTGCTGCCCTGGTGGAACAAGGTGCTCGGGCCGTCCATTGTTTGAGGCACTGTGAGGGCTGGTATCGTTGCCTCTGTGAGCTGGCACGCCAACTTTGCAATCGCTATTCTTATGTGTGTGTGGCGTCTTGCTCGTGCCGCCGTGCCCGTTGACGTGGAGTCATGCTCGTCGTGCTCGTAGTAGTGCGGATGTCCTGTCGGTGGTGTAGGGCCCGCGGGTCCTGATTGCATTTCACTTCCGATATTTGCCGGCAGTTTCTCTGGCTTTCTTGTCCAGCTGGTGGGTGTTGTCGTTGATTCTGGGCTCCCTATCATGTAGCTAGGTATTCCCCAGCTTTTGTCGGGACACCTTCTGAACCTGTGGGTTAGCGATTCGCGCTGGCTTGGGTCGTGGCGCCTCCCTCAGCGCCCGCGATATTTCCACGCAGGACTGTTGGATCATAACTGGCAGGTGGTCCTCGCCATCCTGGATCATGACGATTGTGTCAATCGTAGTCGCTTTTTGTATTGTATCCATGTTGTGGGTAGACATCACAACGTGGTGAAGACGTTCTTTCTGGCTGCCTTTCTGGAAGGCGGAGTCCGGCCCGCTGCGCCCCACTGCGGTGTTGGAGGCCGCCAGCACGTATGGCGTGAGTACTCGTGGAAGCGATTGCCTCGCTTTTCTCCAGCCTTTCGCCGTCGGTCGCCGATGGCGTCGGGCGCCGCTGCGCCCGCAGTGGCATTGGTACCGATCAAGAGGATGACGTTGCGGATGCTGGCCCAA